AGGAACAAAGTGTCTATGAATTTGTGCCAACGGAAGAAGACTGGATCCCTTATGGCGGTTTCTACGGCTCCCATCACGCCCATATTAGTCTGAAAATCACAGAATAATAGAGCTGAATTCTACTTGTTCTCTTTCTTTCTCTCTCTCTCTCTCTCTCTCTCTCTCTCTCTCTCTCTCTCTCTCTCTCTCTCTCTCTCTCTCTCTCTCTCACTCTCTCACTCTCCACTCACTCACTCATCACTCACTCACTTCACTCATCTCTCACTCACTCTCACTCTCTCTCTCTCTCTCTCTCTCTCTCTCTCTCTCTTTTGTTTATTTATGATTATTTTTTATACAATCAGGCTCTGCGAGTTTCGCCATGTTATTTGCATTTGTCTTTTATGTACATGCATTTATTTCTATCTATCAATGCCTTCATTCTTTTTTTCTATCATTCATTTTGTTTCTATCTTTCCAGTTACCCCCTCTTACATTATGTCTTTTGGCAGGGTCATGACTCTGGCTGAGCAAGTCGTGACCTAGGTTGTGGAGGTCACCATACAGAGCGGGGTTCACGCTCGCCCCCGCCTCCACCGCCTCACCCATGATGTTTATCCCGTAGTCCTCGCCTATCCTTGGGTTGTCCGTGAGTCGCACTTGAACACCGTTCGCCTGGAGGAAAGAGAAAGACAAATTAGCGCTAGAGTAGGACCTTGAGGGTGAAGGGCGAGGGGGAGGGAGGGAGGGTGATAGTAGGGAATACTGAGGCTGATACACGTATACATTACATGGCCTTCGGGTGTTTTGGAGACAGTTGGAGAAGCCTAATATGTCTAAGAAAAGGGAATTCATAGATTGAAAGTGAAGAAATGAGGTTTATTAGACAACAAAGAGGTGGATACGTCCGAATATATTTAAAGCGGCGAATTACATGTTGGAGGCGGCCCTTGAAAGTGTAGGTAGAAAATGGAATCTATAGTGTCGGAGTATAGCCTCTGGAATACAGACGCTCAGACACGCACGTTACATCGACCTTGAAGGAATCTCGGAGGCATTCTGAACCAATAAAAAAAACGAAACAAAAAACATAACGAAACGGTATTCAAGCCTTGAATATAAATAATAAACCAAAAACAAAAAAAAAAAAAAAAAAGGGGGGTGAAAGGGTAGTCATAGCTACGGAAGTTTTCTAAGAGCTTCCTCGACCCTGAATTTACACGGCTTTTTTCTCTCCTTTTCGGACTAGCACTCACGTCGACCATGTATCCAACGTCGATAGCGTGGTACAGGTGAGTTCGCCACATCTCAAGCTGGGACACGTAGTTCGATTCGTTCAGAGGTATTGCTCGAACATCCTGAAAAAAAGGAAATATGATTAAAATAAAAGGAAAGAGAGAGAGAGGGAGGGAGAGAGAGAGAGAGAGAGAGAGAGAGAGAGAGAGAGAGAGAGAGAGAGAGAGAGAGAGAGAGAGAGAGAGAGAGAGAGAGAGAGAGAGAGAGAGAGAGAGAGACGGGGAGAGGGAGAAAGAGAGAGTGAGTGAGAGAGAGGGAGAGGGGGGGAGACTGAGTGAGTGTGAGAGAGAGAGAGAGGAAAAGAGAGAGAGAGAGAGAAATGTAGTCTCCTGTAGGGGTAACTACCTTATAACAGATTTACACTTTTTCTTGTACGCTAGCATCAAACATAATTTAAAACAATTTAACTCAGCCAGACCAAAAGATCAATGCAAAACATTAATCATGTCATTTACAACAATTTTACTTTAATGAACAGATCTAAAAACTGTTGAAAACATTTTTAAGATAAAAGGAAATCACACAAAAGCAAATTTAAAATTTTAGAGCTGATCAATCAATCTATCTAGCAATCTAACTATTAATCTATATACCTACCTATCTATCTATCCATCCATCTATCCCTCCTCCCTCACTTCCTCCCCCCATCCGTCCGTCCATCCCTCCATCCATACATCTATCTATTTCTACATGTATGTCTAATGTTTATTGTCGATTACCGTACGACGTAATCCATTTCACCAACGCCTATGTTTTCGTCCTTCTTACCTTAAAGTAACTATTGTCTTGTCGATCTGCCCAATCGTACCCATTGCCTGCGGTGATGTGGGGAAAATACCCGTCTTTGATAGGGAGATGCCAGTCCTCGAAGGGCTCGACCGGCCTGAGATTGACGCTAAGGCGCTCCATGTTGTATCTGTGGACACGTTTAAGATTGAAGCTCTTGCATATGTTGTAGACACTTCGTTATTTCGGGGGCAAGAGAACGGGGGGAAGGGGGGATTTTATTGTTATGTTGGTTAGATTACGAACTTTTCATAGATTTTATATTAATATTGCAAGCACAGGCAGTGCCTGCAATATCAATATATATGTGCACAGACCGAGATAGATAGAGAGAGAGAGAGAGTGAGAAGCAAAGAAAAAATAAGATAGAATTAAAGAATGAGACTGAAAGCGGGAGAGACAGAGAGAGTGGTGGGGGGTTAGAGAAAGAGGAGAAGAGAGAGAGAAAGAGAGAGAGAGAGAGAGAAGAGATAGAGGGAGAGAGAGAAAAAAAAAAATGAAATCAAAATCAAATCAAACAGCAACGACCTCCTCCTCGTCCTCTTCCTCATGGTCGCTCACCTCGCGACCATGTTGTGATGCATGTAGTAGAAGAGTTCTCCCCGTCGGTCTCGCTTCCCGGGCTCAATGTTGTAGGGGTTCGAAAGGTGCCAGTGCCAGTGGAAGCTGTTGAGCCGGATGTCCTCGCGCCAGTAAGCCACTCCCTGCTCGGGGCTTCTCGTGGCGATCCCGGTTTCGTCGACGTGCCACTCCACTGTGACCTTTCTCTGTTCCCAGGTAGAAATAAGTAAGAACTGGCTGTTATCTACCTATCCTATTGATCTATTTATCTACCAATCTGTCTTACCAATCTGTCTATCTATCTATAGCGGTTTCGTCGACGTGCCACTCCACTGTGACCTCTTTCTGTTCCCAGGTAGAAATAAGTAAGAACTGGCTGTTATCTACCTATCCTATTGATCTATTTATCTACCAATCTGGCTGTCTATCTATCTATAGCGGTTTCGTCGACGTGCCACTCCACTGTGACCTCTTTCTGTTCCCAGGTAGAAATAAGTAAGAACTGGCTGTTATCTACCTATCCTATTGATCTATTTATCTACCAATCTGCCTATCTATCTATAGCGGTTTCGTCGACGTGCCACTCCACTGTGACCTCTTTCTGTTCCCAGGTAGAAATAAGGAACTGGCTGTTATCTACCTATCCTATTGATCTATTTATCTACCAGTCTACCTTTCTATCTCCCTGTATGTTTATCTATCTATATGTCTTTCTATCTATCTATTAGTCTGTGTATCTGTTTATTTACAGTACATATCAAGCTATCTATATATATCTCTATTAGTCTGTGTATCTTTCTAATTATCTATCAATCTGTTTATCTATTCACCCGTCTATCTCACTCGTTATCAATTCATCGATTCATCTAGTCCATCTTTCAATACAAATACTCATGAATCTACATAACAGTTCAGTATTATAATTATTTTTACCGTATGATGATTCAGTATCGCCTGTTTAGCCAGCTGTTTCGCCTTGGTTAGGACACCAGCTGGGACGAACCTGTCTGGCAACACCGTTTCCAGAGGGGGTAAGTCACCAGGGTTCAAGTCCTTGTAATTAAAAAAGAAAAAAAAAGAAAGAAATTACTAGGGAAGCGTGGTAAAGTTGCTAACGAGAATCAAAATTGATTTCCCTTTTTTGAGAATACCATACCAACATCAATATAATTCAGGGATGCTACAGAACTCGCACACATACCCACATCTGCAGTACGCAGGCAAATATTAATAAAAAAAAAAAAAAAAAAAAAAAAAAAAAACACACACACAATTAACTTACTCTTCTTTCGTAGAAGGTATGGTAGAGGGCGGCCAAGAAAATGTGGTGGTTTACATGGTCACGTATCTCCATAGCAAATCTATATACGTCATCGATGTCTTCCACCTCTGTTGATATTGGGTTATTTCATTACATACTGGCAAGGACAAACTATGGTAATGGTGATGTAAGTGCCTATAACTGTGATGAGGATAACAGTATTGATACTAGTGATGTTATTAATTCGTGTGCTAGTACTCTAAGGTACGGCGAGACTACCCATAACTCTCACTGGAATCCAGCGATTTTCTGTGGGCTGGGACCAACCCACCCGTCCGTGCGGTTCACACTGCGAAAAGAACCATCGGCTTTGCCCAGTGGAATCGCGGCATCAAAACAAGTCGTAACCTCAGAGACTCGCTATGGATCCCGCAATCTTCTCCCTAATTCATGATATTCTTTCAGGATTTCGTTCTAACCCTTTCTAGAAGGGAGTGAATTGCTTCAGAATTCCACATTTCGAATATTCACGGGATCTGCGGTTTCAACTTGATGTTGGCGGCTACGCGTTTGTTTGTATTCGTCAGTCAAATGAGAATCCATGGTCAGTGCTTTTGTTTTTACTTTTTATTCGCATTTTAGCTTAGATTTAAATCTAAATGGTGTGAAACTAAATATTAATAATTCTGAATAATTACAAATATATAATGATATTAATGCATTGAAATGAAAATATATGCATATGAGTCTCAACGCTTGCAATTTTTCGGTATCCATCGCATCGAAAATGTGGGCGAAAGTCCAGTGGATTGGGTCCATCGGTGGGCAACTTCCATTAAAAATCGCTGGATTTCACGAATCTATGGGGAGTCCGTACTTTAATATATATGTGTGTATGTGTGCATGTGTGTGTGTTTATGTATAAATGTGTATGAACACACACAGGCACACAAACGCGCGCGCGCGCACACACACACACACACACACACACACACACACACACACACACACACACACATATACATACATATATATAATTACTATAAATATACATGCTTATGCATAATACAATTACAAAAATATTCAGAAATACAAATAATGAACATATATGCACATA